AAGATTTTTTTTTTTTCTGGCCACTCGGCCTGAAAAGTGGCTGCGGAGCGATACACCTGTCACAGTGTTCAAAGGTCACTTGACCAACTATGCAGTGAATCACTGGTCGAATCGCTCTTGGTGCCAACTTATGTCAAAAACTTACTTCAGCCTGCACCCTACTAGGAGCAACGTCTTTCATCAAGAAGCCCTAAACAAAACTTCTCACTGTGGTTCGCCACACTCGTGGCTTTTTGATCGGTGATCCACAGTATAAACTCCAATCAACTAATCAAAGACAACAGTGGAACCAACATGTTGGGAGAAGTCAACGCACTCAAACGCACTCTTTTTATCTCTTTCGAAGTTTGTCGAGCGCGGATGCAAGTTGCCCGGCAGTTTTGAGGGGCCGAGCTAGTGCGCACCGCTTGCATTTTCGGAGATCCAAAAATTGCGACTCCGAAATCTCCTCGAAGTCATCATTGATCTTGATCCCGCAGCTGAAGGTGGTTGTGCCTCCCACTGCTGCTACGTGGACCACCTTGCTCTTCTTGTTTCTGAACATGGTGATGTCAGGGTCCCAAGAGCTGGGTGCGACTACCACATCCTGAACGTCGGCATCGACTGAATCACTGCTGTCCGAATCGTCCGAAGTATCCTCAGAGGATGAGGAATCCTCACAAGCTTCTTCACCAGGTTCTTTGGGTGCCTGGAATGTCTCAGACGGATCGTCCAGCTGGGGTTGCTGGATCATTCCTGATCTCGTGGAATCCGGAACGAATGCTTTTGTTCTGATTTGCTGCAAGACTAAGTCAAAGTCTCTGAGAGGTTTTGAAAGGTTGTCCCTACCATAACACTCCGCTGATGACTTGCCGGTCTTGTGATGCCCCAAAATGAGGCGCACCTCTGAATCCAAACCCCACTTCGCACACCAGGACAGAGGAGTGCTCTTCAGCGAATGCGCAGTGACACGTTCAGAGTTTGGGTCCAGCTGGCTAAGCAGTTTCCTGAGCCATTTTCCTGCCTCGGTCGTAGAGACTGCTCTGCTGGACCAACTGCCGTCAGGTTTCGGAGCCATGAGCATGGGCTGGTGGTCAATGGTTTCGAGCGGTCGATCAGCCGCTCCAAGCAAGCGAGTCAAAGCAAGTCCCCATGGTGGGGAAGTGACACCCCATACAGGTGCGACCAAAGGCATCGCTGCTCCACTCTGGGAAACAAGTCTGGCGGTCTTATGAGACCTCGTCCGACACTCAATGTAGCCGGAGATCTTGCCGTCCTTTTCAACCACATCTTGAATGAATCCATACACCTTTCGTAGGTCCGACCACCTGCTTCGGCTGTAAAGGCAAAAGAGCATGCAACCACAGGCGACCCTGTCAGTCAGATCCAGCTTCTCATCAAGCAAACTCCTCTCAAGAAATTCCACTTCGGCCACAGTGAGCAGTCTGGCCTGAGTCTTCTCCCTGCGCTCAAAGTCTTTGATTTCGAGTATCCTCTGCACCTTGTGTGTGATGAGAGGCTTGTCTCCCATTCCAACTTTGATGCCAAGGACATGTTCGCAGAATCTCAGGGCTTCTACAAAACCGTGAAACACAGAAGCAGCTCTGTTCGTCTCCTGCAGGAAAACTATGTACTCTTCCACAGTCTCAGACGTCAGCGGGAAAGGGCACAGGTGAAAGAATTTATGCGTGTACCGGGTGACAAATTGAAGCATGGACTGACCCCTCCGAAGAACAGTGTTGGTGCTCCTGTTGCCAAACACCAGTTTCATGTCATCCAATTTCCTGTGTCGGACCGCGTCATGAAGATCAAAACCTCTGGGCCATGCTTCTTCACCTGAAGAGAAGACCACGTACCACTTTTCGAGTGCCTGTCTATTGGCTTTCTCTTCAACTTCGGCCTCTGAAAGGTCAAGCTTGAAATTGATTGCATCTCCATAGCACCCTCTCTTGACGCGTTCACTCGGCAGTAAAACCACAGGCTGGTCAGTGGCCGAAGTGACTGTTGGTTCAAGCAGCTGCATGACTGGCTTGGGCATTTCGAACCTCTTGTTCCGATTGAAAACTGTCGAAAGCCCAGGCCTGTCCCAAGGCATGACAAACTTAAACGCTGGTTGCGCTTTGAGACAGCTATCTTCAATCATGGACCTAAGGTTTAGCCTGTCACTGGAATTCAAAACACCTACACTCCCAGAGACGGAACGGGAGGGCTCAGGCAAGGTCGGTGCGAATGCTTCGGATGCATCGGGTGCTTCAATTACGGATGGACTGCCAACGGATTCCTGCCCAAACACATCTGTTTGCCAAATGTCACTCACCTCCTGCGGATCTAAGTTATCAGGCAAGGGAAGCTTCACCATCTCTGAATCAACCGAAATCTCATCCCCTTCCAACCTTCTAGCACGTTTGAACCTTGACATGTTTCTGCAATCGCCGATGTGCTCACTGGTTCGTCTCAGATCCTAGGCGACCACATGCTGACGCTGATTCGTGACAGTGTCTAAGGAAGAAAGAAAACTATCCCACACGAAGGTCGCCAACAATGAGCTGAAACAACGGAGAGTGAAAAATGAAGTGCAACTAAGGTCTGGCACTTCCAGTTCATCGACCACGCAGCCTCCCACCTGAGGGCTGACGAAAGTCACTCCACTTCGAAGTGACTCACGAGCTCCCCAAAGGGTTATCAAAGCCACTTGGCCTATCGCTCGAACAAGTTCAAACCAACTCACTTGAGCTGGGGTTTCGACTTCTCTGAAGTCAATCGTGTCCACGTCAGGCCTGAGACACGGGCAAGGGAAGGTTTGTCACTCGACAACCACAGGAACAGTCTACTCAGAACTGTTCTCCTCAGTGCCACACTCGTGACGGAACTTTGCACCTGGTGAACATCAGCGTGACACGATCACATGGTCACATGAGTTTGTCATTGACGTCACACATCGAGTGCCTTGCCTGTCAGAAACGGGGTCACTCGACCCGCGACCGTACCCAAATGGCAGCGGTCGGCTCACTTGAGCCTATATCAATTCAGAGAAATGATTCAGCTGTCCATGAACTTCACATGCATTCTGACAGGATGCTGACTCGATGTGAACATAAATACTGAGGTTTCACTTTATCACCTCTCATCTGAATGACATGTGACACTACGATTCACAACTGATCAAAATAACATGCTGTGGTGAAGGAAAGATACTCTCACTAATCAAAGTAATATGCTGCGGACAACCCCCAGAAGAGCATATTTTGTCACAAAATGTACCAGTCGACAGGAGTGCCCCAAAAGTCGAGTGATGTCCAAAAAGGTCGGCAGGGTGTTGGTCTTCTGCCGGATGTTGAAAAAGCCAAGAAAGTAGATCCATTAGCCATGCATGAGGAGACCGAAGGTGCGGGCGGCATGTTCATCATGCGCAGCCAGGTACTCCATGACTAAACCAAGTTGGTTTCGGAGCCGGGAGTTCTCTTCTCCTAGGCTTTGGATCCTGGTCTCTTGGCGTTGAACTTGGTCAAAGAGACGACCAAAGATGTCGACGAGGTCCGTTGCTGGGTACATTTCAATCGTCAGAGGCACGTGACGTGTCAATGACGGGTCAGCACCATCCTGGACCAAGTCGATCGTCATGTCGCTGCCAGTTGTAGATTGCTGCACTAAGTCGAAAACTCGGCGCGAGAAAATAATGAAAGTGTATCGGCCTTCTGGGTCAATCTCATCGGTGAAGTCGACCAGATAGCGGTGCAGATGGGCGATCGGTGGGCACAGCAAGTGGGAAAATGGCTGCTTGATTGCGTACAGGATGTCCACTAAATTGCGGCGACGGAGGCCAAGGTGTTCGAAAACATCTTGCACACGAGCTTCTTGATCGTCAATCGATTGATCAAGGCTGAAGATGATCTGAAACTGTAAATGACCTGGAGGATGAATATTGTCTTCATCCGGCGCCACGAAGGGGACATCAATGTCAGCCATGGCTACTCACTGATAAGCCAGAGCAGAAAAAGGACCGCTGTGACAAACCCAAGGATGTAGGCCCAACAGCACCACTGGAAGGTTTTCGAAGGCCGGGCAGCAGGCAGCAACTGGACAGGCGAGGAGAACGCCACACGCCCTTTAGCAACGGCAGAGCGTGGGCGCATGGGATGGCCACACAAAATGTGACGAAAAATGTGTTGAAAATTGTTTTGACTGTGAAATTGAGTTCAAAACAATTAGATAAAAGTTTAAGACTGAAAGTCATGTGTTCATGGCTGTGATATCACTGAATGCCCTTGAACTCATGACCAACGACAAGCACTTGCTTGTTGCATGCTTCACTTGAAGCTAAAACACGTCGGAGCATGTCAACTCAAGATGTCAGCCCGTTCTCTGAGGTTCACTCTTCAGACACCCCTTTAAATAAGGCTTTATCATGTCCCATGAGAAAACTCATAATTATATATCTAGATTTATATATATATATTCATACATAGTTATATTTATATATATAGTTGTTAAGATATAGATATATATAGTGAAAAATATAGGTTAATATTTGTAGTTAAATATCATTAATTTATAGTTATATATATAGAGTTATATATTCAGTTTTATATATACTTATATATATAGTTTTATATAGAGTTATATATATATATATAGTTTTATATAGTGTTAGATATATATATATATACATATCTCTATCGTTAAATATATATATATATTGTTTTATATATACATAATTAGATATATATATATAGTTAGATATATATAGTTATATATATATAGTTATATATATAGTTAAAGTTATATATATATATATAGTTATAGTCTTTTATATATATAGTTATAGTTTTATATCTATATATAGTTAGATATATTATATAGTTATATCTATATATAGTTATATAGATACATATATATATATATAGTTATATACATAATACATATATAGTTATACATATAAATATATATAATGAACATGTACTACTTTCTGGTTTACTTACCCATGAAGACTTATCAGTCAAGGGGGATTGTCATCCCATGGCCTGAAAGCTCCGCGCATTCACCTCGTGCACTTTTCGGATTGCCTGGGTGAGTCGCAGGTTTCGAACTAAAATTCAGACCCAAAATCCAGTGTTCAAAATGTCATTTTCTCGAACTAAATCTATATCATGGCCAATGAATTGGGGTCTCGCATATTTCTGGGAAAACCGAATTTGAAACCAGAAACCCAACAGAAATTAGCATGATTTGTTCAACATTGAAAATTTTACGTCGAAACTGAAGCATGTAGGAACTATAACTGTTGCTGAAGTACCATCTGACTCTGCATCGACTTGCGGCAAATGGCAAATGGCGATGAGAAAAAACATGGGGAGAAGCAAGTCCTCCAAACGGAGATAAAACACCAAAAAGAAACTTCAACCAGCAGTGGAAACATGATGAGCAACAAATGTGGTTTGTTTTTCTAGCTTCTTTCACCGACATTCGGATTCGTTGATGATACGGGTGTGGCCTAAGACATGCCAAGACTCTGTTCCCAAGCTGTTCACATACCAAAAATGAACAGAATATGAATAGATGAGCAAATAAACAAATCATGTGGAACACTTCTCAGATCGGAATGACTATGACTGCTCAAGTCTTGGAGTGAAGAGTTTTGCCGTCAAACGTTAGACATCTGAATTTTTGAAACTGGATATGGAACCAACCAAAGAACATTTCTAGAGGGAAACATCATATTTCAAACCTAAAAAATGTGGAGTGTCCCGTTCCCCACAGGCCATGAACTTCATGAACCCTGCTGCAAATTGAACATGGCAGCTGAGCCAAACTATTGAACAGCAACATTTTTGCGTCAGGAACCGTGGAAACCGTGAAAAGTTCAAGTGGGTCTGTGTGGAAATGGCCATTTTTTGGTCACCCCTACTTCCAATGGATTGTCATTTTTCCCTGTCAGAGTTTCAAAAAAGTTGGGTAGACCCCATTGTTGTCAATCCCCCAAGCTGCAGCCAGGTAACGTCTTCATTCTTTCGGACAAAGTCGATGCCTCGAGGAGCCGAAGCATGGAACGGTAGACCATGTCGGGCTCAGGATCTGCCATCCAATGTTGGGTCCAATCGTCACCCACACAAACACAAACACACACACACATAGTAGAAATGGCAACTGGATTGCTAAGAAATTTTTGAATTTCAAATTCTAGTTGAACTCTTGCAATATTTATGTTTTTGGATTGACGAGTTTTGGTCAGCACCAAAATGACACAAGTGGCAAAAAAAACATGTTCATGCCAGTTTTGGAATGTATTCGAATTATTGATACAATGTGCACAGATAACAGATTAATACAGACTATATATTATATTCGCATTGCAATTCAACCTACAAAAAAATGATCGTTCTTGGTCTTTGAAATCAACGTGCAACACTGGTGGGATCAGAACCCCTTGTGCCTGGCACATGTGTTTCCCAAGGGTCTGTTTGTTCAAACTCTGTTTTGAAACACCAAAGCAGTAGCCTCTAGAAGAATTTGGTTCAACCATCCCCGAACAAGACCCTGTGGAATTGCAAACTTGTACGATTCAAATGCCATGCAAATACTTTGCGCGTTGAAACTGAGGTTGGAGCATCTGGAAAGTATTGCGTCCCCAGCCAACGGGTTTCTCGTCCTCAGCTGTGCACATCGAGAAGAGACTGGACATGTACCCTTGTCTCTTGAAGTCTGGACAAAGTCGGCCTTGTGGGCAAAGAAAATACTGTTCAGAGTTTCCAGTGTAGCTGCATGAGTTTGTTTGCTGCCTCCATAGAAAGGCATGATACGGTTCTCTTGAAGAATAATTGTTCCAACAACATGCTCGTCAGGTGGGGAAACTGCTTATGTATCCATGCTAGAAATGGAAAACTAGAAAATATACAAAACCCACCGTCATGTGACATGCATGGTATTTAAGGTCGAAGAGCCTTCCGTGAAGAGTAAAACCTAATGCTCGGCCGGGGGAGTATGGATGACCCACAAAATCGGTCATTTCCTAATACAAGCCGTCCATTTTTGGCCAATATAATATTGACCCATTTAGTGCCTTTCAGCAGGGGATACCGAAGGGCCACCTGCTGTAGCAGTCTGAGATACCAACATCAGATGAGTATCCGATGAGTCCATGGCTGTGTTGAAATTCGGCGCGGTGCCAAACGTTGTTTGAAAACCAAAGATGAACCATGTCAAGTTCTGATGGGATCATTTCATCCTCCACAATTAAGTGGGGGGACTCCCAGCATGAGTCACACTAGCCCCTATGTAAGCAAAAAGAATGATATCTAGGCTGGTCAAACTGCTACATGTTGGACATCATGTGGATTTGTCCAAAAATTGGGATGCCCCAGAATATAAAAGACCAAAATTTCAAGAAAGGGAAGGTCAAACATTCAGCTTAAGCCGAAAATCATCACAATGTGCTGCCCAACTGTTTTGAGGTTGTTTCTAGAGAGAGAAATCCGGAAATCATCACAATGTGCTGCCCAATTGTTATGAGGTTGTTTCTAGAGAGAGAGAGATCCGGAAATCATCACAATGTGCTGCCCAACTGTTGTGGGGTTGTTTCCAGAGAGAGAAATCCGGAAATCATCACAATGTGCTGCCCATTGTTATGAGGTTGTTTCTAGAGAGAAAGATCCGGAAATCATCACAATGTGCTGCCCAACTGTTATGAGGTTGTTTCTAGAGAGAAAGATCCGGAAATCATCACAATGTGCTGCCCAACTGTTGTGAGGTTGATTCTAATAAACCCCATTATTTGACTGTGTTTGTATAATTTTAAAAATGTATATATGAACCATGAAAGCTTTCGTTAACCCACTTGTAAACCACCTTGGTGTCGTTTGAGGGTTCCACCTTGCACTTATGGTGTGCATGGTTAAACATAAACCTGCGGAAAACCATAGATTATACTTATACCATATGATTAACATGGCGTACATGGTATGTATGTATATGCATACGTATCCGTATACGCATACGTACATGATCGTATTTGTATAGGTACATGTAAATGTATATGCATATGTATATGCATATGTATTTACATATGTATATACATATGTATATACATATGTATATACATATGTATATGTATATGTATATGTGTATGTATATGTGTATGTATATGTATATGCACAGTTATTTCCAAAGATCGAACCGCTTGCAAAACACATAGCACCGCAACGTCGCAACGTATTAAAATTACGTCACGTGTATAAAAAACACGTTCGCTCAACGCACGAAAAGTCGTTACAAAAAACTGAACGGCTGAAGCTCCGGAAAAACAGCACGGGTGACAGTTTTTTTCCAGCACTTAGCAATTGGGGTTCCAAAAAGCGGTCCGAACATGGTGTGTTTTGTACATTTTGGCTTGGAAATGTGCTTCGCGCCAGCATGGCATGCACTTTTTCATCATCTCAACTTCCAAAAGTGGTCCGAACCTGGTGTGTTTTGTACATTTTGACTTCGAAGTTGTTTCGCCCCACAATTGCGTGCACTTTTTCGACATCACAACTTCCAAAAGTGGTCCGACGTTGGTGTGCTTTGTACATTTTGACTTAGAAATGTGCTTCGCGCCACAACGGCGTGCAATTTTTCATCTCTCATCTGGCCAGCTGGCTCCGCACCCGCCGCTTTAGCGAGCCTACTTTTCGACCCTCCGGAACAAATCATTGGAAAAACACTGTGTTTTGCAGTTTTCCTACCTTTTCGCGCACCTGGATCCGCTTTCTTCTGGGACGTTCTCTTTTTTGATCTTCTTTCTTTTTCTCTTCTCTTCTCTGATTCTTCCCATCTCTGCTTCTCATCTGTCCATATTGTCGGAAGTTTGACTTCTAAATTTCCTCCGATAAGATATAGTAAAATAATATGATATAACATGATATAATATAATACAATACAATAAAATACAGTACAATAGAATAGAATACAATACAATTTATTATATTATATTATATTATATTATATTCTATTATATTATATATTATATTATATTATATTATATATTATATTATATTATATTATATATTATATATTATATTATATTTTATATTATATTTTATATAATATAATAAATTATATTATATAGTATAATATATATAATGTTATATTATATATATATATTATATAACATATTTTATTATATATTATATTTTATCTTACATTATATATTATATTTTATCCTATATTATATATTATATTTTTCTTATGTATTATATTATATACTATATTATATATTATATTTTATATAATATAATATATTATATCATATATAATAATATATATTATTTTAAATTATATATTATATTATATATCTTATTACATATTATATGATATACTATATTAAATTTTATATTCTGTATTATATTATAAATTATATTATATATGAAATTATATATTATATTATATATTATATTTTAAATAATATTATATATTATATTATATATTATATTATATATGATATTAAATATGATATTATATATTATATTATATATTATATATTGAATATTGTATATTAAATATTGTATATTATAATATATATAATATTATTAATTATATATTAAATATTGTATATTAAATATTACAAATTTTATGTTATATTAGATTATATATTATATTATATATTATATTATATATTGTATTCTATATTGTATTATATATTATAATTTAATATATTTTATATTATATTATATATTATATTTTAAATTATATTAAATATTATGTATTATATTAAATTTTAAAAAAATAATATATATATATATATTATATTACATATTATATGAAAAATTAATTTATAAATTATTTTTTAAATTATATATTATATTATTTCATATTGTATTATATATTAAATTATATGTTTCATAATATTATTATATTATATATAAAATTATATTATTATATTATATATTGTTTTTTTTAATATTATATACTATTTTATATTATATATTATATTTTATATTATATTATTTATTTTATTATCATATTATATTATTACATTTTATAAAATTATATATTATATTATTTTTTATTTTATATATTATATTATATATTATATTTTATATTTTATATTATATCATATTTTTTATTATATTGTATCATATATTGTACTATTTATTATATATGATATAATATCATATATTATATCATATATTATATCATATCATTTTATTTTATATTATATTATATTAATTATACTTACGTACGTACGTACGTATGTATGTATGTATGCATATATATATATATATATTAATTTTGTATTTATGTATTTATGTATATAACAATTATAATATATGTACCTTGGCACCTGAATTTTTTTTGCAGCTCCCAGGGTTCCAGTCTGTCAATTGCACAGGCGAAGGCTGCACCGGTGCGCTGCACAACCGCTAGAATGGAAAGCCGGTCTTTGCCGGGGCTGCTGCTTTTTCCCGTTGCGGAAATGTATTTTTTCCGTTGCGGCAACTTTTTGGGTTGCAAAGCTGGACTTTCTCTGCTGCTGGTTTTTTTCCGGTTTTTTTCTTGCCTCGGACGGGTTTTTTCCCGCCTCGGACGGTTTTCCCCCGCTGCCTCCAAAATGCATTTTTCTGCTGCAAATAGGTGCTTTTGTGCTGCTGCAAGGTGTTTTTTCTGCTGCTTTGAATTTTTCCCGCTGCGAAGCGGCATTTTTTGCTGGCGTTTTTTCCCGCTGCGGAAACAGCTTTTTCCCGCTGCAAGGCGTTTTTTTCCTGCTGCCAAACGTGTTCTTTTCCGTTCCGATGTTTTTTTCCTGCTGCGACCTGTGTTTTTCGCGCGCTGCGCGAAGACAAGGAGCTAGAGAACGTAGAGTCATACACTGGGCGTTTGCCACTTGTAAGCTGGATAGCGCATGGACAAATAGGTGACAAAGGCGACCAAACATTGAAACAACCGTCCGCGAATGAAAAGTTGAAACGTGCAGCGGTGGACGCAGCGACATGTTTCAACGGTAGTGGATACAAGCGAGAACGGCAAAAAGAAGAAGAAAAAGCAGAAGAACGACAACAACCACAAGAACAACAACACAACAAGAACAACCACCACCACCACCTCCACCACTACAACCTCCACCATCACCACCATTACCACTACCACCACCCGCAGCAGCATGGGCAGCATGGACAATATGTGCAGCATGAGGAGCATGGGGAGCAGCACGTGCCATGGAACGCATACAATGACTTTCCTCCGGGCTGCCCCTTTCACCGGACAACGATGACAACCATGACGACAACAAGGACGGCGACGGCGACGGCGGCGACGGCGACGGCGACGGCGACGGCGACGACGACGACCACAACCACAACCACAACCACAACCACACCCACAACCACAACCACAACCACAAC